TCAGTCTTTTTCTCCATTTATCATAAGGTTATTTATTGGTCCAATGTTGAGGATTTTTGTTTTCTTTACAGTGAGGTTCAACCCATACTGAAAGCTGTGGTCTTTGATCATCATCAGTATTTTAAGTCCTCTTAAGTTTTTAAGCAAGCAAGATTGTGTCGTCTGCATATCACACGTTGTTAAAGAGTCTTTCTCCAGTTCTGAAACCATGTTCTTCATATAACCCAGTTTTTCAGATTATTTGCTTATCATACAGATTGAATAAGTATGGTGAAAGACTACAACCCTACTGCATAGCCTTACTGCATAGCCTTTCCTGATTCTAACCATTCCATTTCCCTTTGTTTTGTTCGAACGACTGCCGCTTGGACTATGTACAGGTTCCTCATGAGCACAAGTAAGTGTTCCAGAATGCTCATTCTCCTCAATGTTGTCCATAGTTTGTCATGATCCTCACAGTCAAAAGCCTTTGCATAATCAATAAACCACAGGTAGACATCTTTCTGGTATGCTCTGCTTTCAGCCAAGATCCATCTGATTTCAGCAGTTATATCCCTCGTTCCACGTCCTCATCAGAAACCGGCTTAAACCTCTGACAGTTCCCTGTCAGTGTACTGTTGCAGCTGTTTTTTTTAAATTATCTTAAGCAAAATTTTACTTGCCTGTGATATTATTGATATTGTCCAATGATTTTCTTGTTCAGTGGGGTCACCTTTCTTGGAATTGGCACAAATATAGATCTCTGATCAGTTAGCCAGGTTGCTGTTTTCTAAATTTGTTAGCACAGATGTGTGAGTACCTCCAGGGCTGCATCAGTTATTAGGGGATTTCCATGTGTATTCCATCAATTCCTGGAGTCTTGCTCTTTACCAATGCCCTCAGTGCTCCTTGGGCTTCTTCCTTCACCTACCATTGGCTTGTGATTGCATGCTACCTCTTGAAATGGTTGAACTTCTTTTTTTTTTGATACAGTAATTCTGTGTATTCTTTCCATCTTTCGGTACTTTCTGCATCAATGTTTTGCCCAGAGAATTCTTCCCTATTACAAATTGAGGCTTGAATTTGTTCCTCAGTTCTTTCAGCTTAAGAAATGCTGACAGTGTTCTTCCCTTTTGGTTTTCTAACTCCAAATCTTTGGACATGTCATTATAATTTTTGGTTTTGTCTTCTCAAACTGCCCTTTGAAATTTTCTTTTCAGCTTTTTTGCCTCTTCATGTTTTCCATTTGTTATAGCATCTCTATGCTGTAAAACAAGTTTCAGAGTCTCTTCTGACATCAATTTTGGTCTTTTCTTTCTTATCTTCTTGCTTTCTTCCGGTATGATGTTCTAATGTCATCCCACAGTTCTTTGATCTTGAATCATTAGTGTCTAGTGCAAATCTGTTCTTGAAATGATCTCTAAATTCATGTGGGATATGTTCAAGGTCATATTTTGGCTTTTGTGGACTTGTTTTAATTTTCTTCAGCATCAGCTTGAGATTGCCTATGAGTAACTGATAGTCTATTCCAGTCTGCCCCCTGGTCTTGCTTTGACTGAGCTTATGGAGTTCTTCCACTCTCTCCACAGTGGTAGTCAGTTTGATTTCTGTGCATTCCATTGTGTGAAGTCCATTTGTATAATCATCTTATATGTTGTTTTAAAAAGGTATTTGCAATGAAGAAGTCATTGGTCTTGTCAAATTCTATCACGTGATCTCCGGTATCATTTCTGTAATCAAGGCCATGTTTTCCAACTACCAGTCCTTCCTCTTTGTTTCCAACCTTTGTGTTCCAGTCACCACTAATTATCAATTCATCTTGATTGCATGTTTGATCAATTTCAGACTGAAGAAGTTGGTAGAATTCCTCAGTTTCATCATCAGTGTCTTTTGTGGTTGTTGTTGTTGAGTGCTGTTAAGACAGTTCTGGAATGTGGAAATCAATGACTAGTACTGTTTATATCAAATGTAAGTAAAATTTTGCTGAAACTACTTCAAAAACAATTGCAATAGTACATTGACAGGGACCCTGTATAGGGTTTCCAAGGAGTAGCTGGTGAGTGCATAAATTTTATCAACAGTGATATCAACTTGTAGGCACCTAGATAGTATCCTATCGCAGAAAACAGTCTACTTTAAGACAGATCTTGAAATGTTCTTTTTGATGATGCCTGTGATGCCACTTCTCTTCAATTTGTCATTCTTGGTGTAGCAATCATGTGCATCATTTCTATGATGTTATATAATTACTTCTGACTTACCGTCACATTCTAAATGTGATGTCTTTCAGAGAGTACAATGGTTCTTTGAGACAAAGCATGGGATGGGATGAGGCTGTTGTGTGTCATTTAGAGTTTCAAGAAACATCTCTGAAGTGACATGTAAACTGAGCTCTAAAGGATCAATAAGCATGAAGGGAAGACTATTCCGGGAGGAGGGGATAGTGTGGAAAAGACCCTAAGACCTAAAGGGCATATGCACGCAGGCAGCATCTACAAACCGAGTAGGAAGAAATGGTTGGCAATACCTGGCTTACTTGTGGCATTGAAGACATTGGTAAAAAGTTTGGATTTCATTCTAAGTTCAGTGCGAAGCCACAGGAATGAAGGAATGATGGGCCCTGCTTGCCCTGCTTGCCCAGTAAGTATCAATGTGGCTGCTTTGTAGAAGATGGTTCACAGTGGGGCAGGAATGCAATTGTATATGAGCTTCCAGTTTCAAGCTGTGCCTTAGGTTTTCATTGTTATTAATATAAAATTTAACATAATTGTCCTGTATTTTTGTTATGCCAGAAAGATGTAAAAGTCCCCAAAATGCAAACAACACAGAAGTACAACATGAAATGAACTCACTAGAAGTAGCTTGTGTATCCTGTTTTTTTCTGTGTATTTCATAAGTACATGTGTACATTACAAATGTACGTGTTAAAATGTTATTGAATTATATGAATTTTTCAACTTGCTGTTTTATGTAGTACATCTGACTTTTTATGTCAGATTGACTCCCTATAAAAAGTTTTTTTTCTGATGATGTTAGCATTTCTTCCTAATATTACCCCTCATTTTTCATATTATTTAAAGTATTTTTAAATCTAATATTACAAACTTTCATTGGTACTTAGAAAACCTACCATTAATAAATTTCATTTCCCCTTGATTTTCATATACCTGCAATTTCTATAACCACTAGCCATTCCCAAGTATTGGACAATAGAGCAATATTCGCTGATCATTCATAACAACTTTAGGATTTAGATGGAGTCCTGGTGTGGTGCTGTGGGTTAATACGCTGGACTGCAAAGTCAGTTTCAACCACAAGGTTCAAACTTTTTAAATTTGCAAACAAAGTAGTACTTACACAGGTAAAACAAATGTCCTATTGAAAGGTTTGTAACAAAAACCGGTAATTAATTGTAATCCTTTTAGCTGTTCCTCATTGTATTTATTTTCTTATTTCCAAATAATATGCTTAAACAGGGATTTATTTTCTTTTACTTAAGAAAGTAGTGCATTCATGTGGTTTTAAAAGTATAAAAATGTGCACAATAAAACAGTTCTTCCATGTCCTTAACTCTGTTCTACTCGGCTTCCAATCATTTGCAGTTACAATCAGTCTATCTTGAGTAATCCTGTGCGTTATGTCATTTCACTGTGCATGGAAATCTGAAGAGTCAAACACCCAAACTGGAATGCTGAGTATGGATATTTGTGAATTTGAAAACTGTCAAAATACTCTCCTGGGGGGAAGGGGTAATTGTTAAGTTGAGTTGATTTTGACTCATAAGTGATGCTAATTTACACTCTATAAGTATGTCAGTGTATTTTTCTTTTCACTCCATAACCGTCAACTTCTATTATTTTTCTTTTGATTTGTTCCCTAAGTGTCATTTTCTCCTACCCAAAGTCTTGTTATCTTTAAAAGCAGTGCTTATGCACTGGAGTGCGAATTGAAGGTCAACAGTTTAAAATGTGTCAATGCACAAAAAGCTGTGTAGGAGAAAGACGTGGCAATCTGCATTCATAAACATTACAGCCCTGGAAACCCTATGGGTCAATTTTACTTTCTCCTGTGGGGTCACTGTGGAGTCCTGCAGTGGTGCTGTGGGTTAATGTGCTGGACTGCAAGGTCAGTTTGAACCACAAGGTCAAAGGTTCAAGCTCACCAGCTGCTCCTCAGATACTCTATACAGGGTCACTATGAGTGGGAACTGACTCAGCGACACTTAACAACATAGGGTCACTGTGACTTGGAATTGACTCAATCGCACACAACTCATGAAATCATGTAATCCCTAAGGGATTTCACCCTAAATTCTCAGTATTACACACCAAACCCTACGGTCTAGCTCCTTCTTTCTCTCCAGGGCACATTCTTTACCATTTTGGCCTATATTATTTCCTTCATAAGAAGCTTCTTGTAGTTTTCTTAAATGTGTCTTGTTCTCTGCCCACATTTCACATTTTTTCTCCCAGAAGTTTTCTCCAAAGCACTCTACTTTGGGTTGAATGCCGCCCCCCTTCTTTGCACCCACACCGGCTGTTCATATACCTCACACTGTGTGTCCTTAGGTTCATCCCATCACGCTGTAGCCTATTATGTAAAGGACTTCAGTTTATTCTCTTTGCATCCCCAACACCTACTAGTGTAGATTTCCACTTAAAAGCAACTTTAATGACATAAAATGAGGTGCTGCTCTTGTCAAGATTAGCAGAGGAATACTTTTATTGACTACACTTAAGAGCAGAGATGGAGTTCCTGTCTTATACACTCAAGCCTTTTCTCTCTCTGCCGTTAGCTCAAAGGATAGAACTATAAGGATAAGAAGCTTGACGTCTCCCAATTAACAAGTGTTCAGTCCTTAGCCATTCCTGAAATCTTAAATCTACACTGGATTCATTCATATCACTGAATTCTCTTGTTCCCTAGGAGTCCCGAATGAAAATTCTGTGGAGAATCTTCAAGAGAAATAACTTAGAGATCTTTTTCATGAAGAGTTTTCTACTCGCTAATTTTTGGAAAAGACGGCCAATACAATAACTGGAAGTCAGGATTATATTGAGAAGTATAGAGACCCAGAACTAGATCTTTCCCCTTCCCAAAGGTAGAAAGAAGCATCTTCTATTTTCACAAATAAGAATGTGGTAACTCTTCAAAGTGATGATTTTAAAAACATGGAAAGTAAAGAATATCTATCTTTGAAAGTCCCAAGCCAATTACCTACACAAGACTGTTTGGTGAAGTTCTATAAGAATGAGCCACAAGATTCTCAGGAAAGCAAAAGTCTCTTTGTAATTGAACAAAGCACTGAGGGAAAAGTGATATTGGGGGCAAGTTCTTCCACAGACCGCTGTTCAGAGAACCTTCAAGTTAAACTTCAGTCGGATATAATTTACCAGAAGAATCCGTTGAAAGAATCCTTGGATCCCTTTGATTATAACCATGAGGATATTTTTGGTTGTAATTCAGAGTTTGTCAGTTATAGTTATCAGAAAGCTCACATAAATGAGAAATCTTGTAACTGTAACGACTGTGGAAATTTTCTTCTGTGCAGACCAAATGTTCTTCCATATGAAAGAATCCACTCAGAAGAGAAAGTGCATAAATGTGTTAAGTGTGGTAAGGACTTTATACAGAGCTCAGAACTCCTGCTTCATCAGAGAGACCACCCAGAAGAAAACCCCTATAAATGTGAGCAGTGTGGGCAGAGCTTCACAAGGAGTTCGAGTCTCCTCATTCACCAAGTAGTTCACACAGATGAGAAACCTTTTAAGTGTGACAAGTGTGGGAAGGGTTTCACCAGAAGTTCCAGTCTGCTCATTCATCATGCAGTTCATACAGGTGAGAAACCTTATAAATGTGATAAATGTGGAAAAGGCTTCAGTCAGAGCTCCAAACTGTACATCCACCAGCGAGTCCACACTGGCGAGAAGCCCTACGCATGTGGGGAGTGTGGTATGAGCTTCAGCCAGCGCTCGAACCTGCACATCCACCAGCGAGTCCACACGGGAGAGAGGCCCTACAAATGTGGAGACTGTGGCAAGAGCTTCAGCCAGAGTTCGAATCTTCATATTCATCGGTGCATACACACTGGAGAGAAGCCTTATCAATGCTGTGAGTGTGGGAAGGGCTTCAGTCAGAGTTCGGATCTTCGCATCCACCGCCGAGTCCACACTGGAGAGAAGCCCTATCATTGTGGCAAGTGTGGGAAAGCATTTAGCCAGAGTTCCAAGCTTCTGATTCATCAGAGAGTCCACACTGGAGAGAAGCCCTATGAGTGTAGCAAGTGTGGCAAGGGCTTCAGCCAAAGCTCCAACCTTAACATCCATCAGCGGGTTCACAGGAAAGAGTCCTGCTAGATGATGGAAGCCCATCCCGGACTTCAGTCAGAGCGCGTGTGTTTTAAAGACAGGTGATTTTAACAACATTCTTAACATTACACAAGGGGGCTTCAAAAGCTTTGTAGAGAACAGGAATGAAAAGATAAAGGAATTATTCCATGAACTTTTTGAACCCCGCCCTCAGCAGTTCTACAACTGTTCCGCGGGAGAAAGATGAGGCTTTCTGCTCCTGTAAAGATTTACAGCCTCGGAAACCCTGTACAGGATCGCTATGAGTCGGAACCGACTCCACGGCACGTAACAACAACAAAGAGAGAGCTAGTAATGATTATTCATGTACGTTCCATCACTAAACGCATTGATTTATTTTTTAAAGTATTTAAATAACAAGCACTTTATGCTATACAAAGAATAGATTACTTCAGAGGACTCGAGTGAAAACATGTGCTTTGTGATTCAGCCAAGGTTCAAAGTATACCTCCTGTCCAGCATTTTTAACCTTGAGTACTTGGTATTTGCCCAAGCAAGACGTGGTTCCTTTTTTCATATTCAGTAACAAAGTGGGACTCTGGTGTCTCTTCAAATCATGTGCTGTGTTTTTTCATATTTCCTTCTAGCCATAAGTGTTGTTGTTGTTAAGTGTCGTTGAGTCGATTCCGACTCATAGCAACCCTGTAGGGTTTCTGAGGAGCAGCTGGTGAGCTTGAACCCCTGACCTTGCAGTTCAAATGACTTTGCAGTCTGATGCATTAACCCACAGCACCACACCAGGACTCTGATGTTATTTGTTGTTGTTGTTAAGTGCCGTCGAGTCGGTTCCGACCCATAGCGACCCTGTACAGGGTTTCCGAGGGTGTAAATCCTTACGGGAGTAGAAAGCCTCATCTTTCTCCCGCGGAGCAGCTGGTAGTTTCGAACCGCTAACCTTAAGGTTCGCAGCCGGATTCGTAACCACTACGCATTAGCTCTCTCTAAATTGATTCTGCCTGAGGGCTTCAAAAAGATCATGGAACAAATGGAATTAAATGATAATGGAATTTTTCCATGAGCTTTTTGGAACTTCCTCGTATAATATGCCAGTTTTGAGGGGTGACTGGATGTTTTCGTGGACATGGAAATGCTTGTGCTTGTTACAAAAATACACAACAGGCTGTGACTACATTCCCACAAGAAGTGGTTAAATTAGTCATGTAATGCAACCCTATATACTATTTGGCAGGGTAGTAAGTGTCCCTCCCTGTTCCCTGAAGCCAACTGTTCTGGAATATTAAAAAAAAACAAAAAACAGTTGTCTGCTCAGTTCTAACCTTAGTCTCCCATGTTGTCAGAGTAGAACTGGGCTCCAGAGGTTTTTCGTGGCTGATTTTCCTCAGAAGTGGATCGCCAGACCTTTCTTCAAGATGCACATGGGTTGCTTCAAACCTCCAATCTTTCAGTTAGCAGCCCAACTGTATTGGCCATTAGCCCCACCAGTGACTCCTCAGAAACAGAAGGCTATCTTTCCCTTGCTGCTACTCATCTGGAGTCCTTCCAAATCTCACTACCTCAGGAGACTGCCTCCAAACCAAAGGGCATACAAACCATATTGGAGCATGTCATATAAAGGTGAAATGCCCTGCAACACTATCTTGTTTCCTTAATTTTCTTTACCACCATGTTCTATATTAAGTAAAGCCAAGGGAAAGTTTCTGATATTTTTCTGTTCAGAGTTACCTTTTGTTCTTCTAATACCCAAAAGTCATTTGAACTTTTTGCAGCATCCTTAGTCTTCTCAGAAGTCACTCAGGACATCTGACCATCTGACACATGTTTGCACAATTTACAAGTTTGACGACAAGTAAGTACATCACATAAATATACATAGATTTTTGTTTTTGAACTTTGTTGTGAATTGGGTGAAGGTTTACAAAGCAAATCAGTTTTACATTTAACAATTCATACACATTTTCACTGTGCATGGGTTTCACTTCCTGTGTGTTCCGTTTCCTTCCTCTTTTCCTAAGCCTTCTGAACTCTTGGTGGTGGTGGTGGTGGTGGTGGTGCCATCAAGTCAGTACCTACTCATAGCGACCTTATGCACGACAGAACAAAACACTGCCCAGTCCTGGGCCAACCTCACAATTGTTGCCACACGAGTCCATCGATGCTGCCACTTGGCCAATCCATCTCACTGGGGGTCTTCTTTTTCTCTGACCCTCCACCTTACCAACATGATATCCTTCTGTAGCGACTGTTCCCTCCTGACAATATGTCCAAAGTATGAGAGACCAAGTTTGTCCATCCTGGCCTCCAAGGAGCACTCTGGCTGCACTTCTTCCAACATAGATCTATTGGTTCTTTTGGCAGCCCATGGGCACTTTCAATATTCTCTTCCAACACCATAACTCAAAAGCATCAATTCTTCTATGGTCTTCCTTATTCACTGTCCAGCTTTCACATCCATATGAGGTTATTGAAAATACCATGGCTTGGGTCAGGCACACCTTAGTCCTCAAGCTGACATCTTTGCTCTTCAACACTTTAAAAAGGGCTTGTGCAACAGATTTGCCTAATACAATACGTCATTTGATTTCTTGACTGCTACCTCCGTGAGTGTTGATAGTTGATCCAAGAAGAATGAAGTCCTTGACAATTTCAATCTTTTCTGTTGATAAGAATATTCTTGGTCCAATGGTGAGGATTTTTGTGTTCTTTATATTGAGATGTAATCCATACTGAAAGCTGTGGTCTTTGATCGTCATCATTATTTTAAGTTCTGAATTCTGCCCTTGGCTAAATGGTTGATTGTGCATAGCTTTAGGATTATTGTCCCTCTTGCAGACCTAGTATTTGGTTGAAAATTGAGCCATGAGGGTGAGTTCGGTTCCAGACCTGAAGGGATAGCTAAGGGCCATATTTTCAGGTGTTCTACCAGTTGCACAAGGAAGCCTGCTGATGTTTTTATTTATGATTTTGAGTTTTGTTCCATAGTTCTCTATCCACTCTATCCATAACTTTCTAATCTGATCCCTTTCAGAGCAGTTGATAGTGGTAGACAGGCACCGTCTAGGTCTTCTGATCTAGATGGGGTTGTGGAGACTGATGGTCGTTTGGTCCATTAATCCACTGGCTTAATTGTTTCCATTGTTCTTTGATTTTCTTCACTCTTCTTCATTCCAAATGGGGAGAAACCGATAGTTGCAGCTTAGACGGTCACTCAGGAGCTTGTAAGATCCCAGTCACTACTCAAAGTAGGATGTAGAACATTGTCTTTGTTGACTTTTGTTGTTCTTAAGTGCCATTGAGTCAGTTCTGACTCGTAGCAACCCTGTATAAGGTTTCCAAGGAGTTGCTAGCGGGTTTGAAAAATTGACCTTAAAGTTAGCAGTCCAGTGATTATCCTACAGCACCACCCCAGGACTCCCTTTTTGGACTATGTTATGCCCATTGGCTTTGGTGCCCCCTAGGACCGTGGTTCTAAGCCTCCAGGCCTAGTGTCTAAGAAGTTTTCATAACTTTTGCTTCTTGTGTATTCTACCACATTCATGGATATATTTATAACATATATTCTGTGAAGCCTACACAGATTCATGGGTGCAGTCCACTCTCCCTCCCACACCTGTTCAGTGTGTCTATTTATGCATTCAATCAAAGATCACTGTTACTACAGCATTGTTTATATCGGTATTTACCGCCATTGCCTTTAACTGTTGAACTCCTCCAAGTGTCTTGCTTTGCCTCCATCATTTTCTGCGATATCCCTTATTGTATGTTGCCTTCCCTTCATGCAAGTTACTATGTGTCTGTCCTCTAGTTAGTCCATTTCTTGTAACCATCAAAAAATGTTTTCTTTTAGTGTGAAAACCTTTTCTTGGCTTTTTATAATAGGTGATCTCATACAATATTTGCCCTTTTGTGAATAAGTAATGTCACTCAGCATAATGTCCTCTGGGTTCCTCCACGTTCTGAGTGTTTTGCAGATTTACCCTTGCATTGTATTCCACGTGTGTAAGGTAGTTTAACTACTGGTGGTTATTTGGGGTGTTGCCATCTTTTTGTTACTGTGAATAGTGCTGTCCTGATCATGGGGGTACACATATATCAATTTGTGTCACAGCATTTACTTCTCTAGAGTATATATCAAGGAGTGCGGATTCTATTTTCATTTGGACCGCAAGATCGGTTTGAAGTGCAAGTTGAGCAGTTCAAATTCACCAGCTGCTCCTTAGAAACTGAGTCAGAGCCAACTCAATGGCATTTACAACAAGAAGCATAGCAAAGGATCTGTAATACAAATTATTGTATTTGTAGAGTACTTGAGACTAGCTTTTCCAGGGCTTGAAATTTTTACCTATCATAATGGGTACTTAACTGTTTGCTTTCTATATGGATTTATCTTCTAGTAAAAAAAAAAAAAAAAAAATGGGATGTTTCTTCTGCAGAAATTGAGTGGCCCCAAGAGAGAAACCTCTATCTGGCACTTGAGAATTCAAAAGCTATCTTCTAGGTCCAGTATACATACAATAGAGCTTTGAAATGCATTATTTCAACAGATAAAGTTTAAAGAGATACAGGAAAATTCTTAGTTATAATAAGATATTTTAACATTAATTAGTAGCACAAGTAGACAGAAAATCAGTTATATATATGTGTGTATATATATTTGTTGTTGTTATGTGCCGTGGAGTTGGTTCCAACTCATAGTGACCCTGTACAGGGTTTCCGAGACTGTAAATCTTTACGGGAGCAGAAAGCCTCATCTTTCTCCCATGAAACAGCTGGTAGTTTCGAACTGCTGACCCTGAGGTTATACCAGAGCTCTCTCTATATATACACTATCAACTAACTGGACTGAACATTCCACCCAACAACAGCAATATGTATTCTTTTCAAATGCACATATTTTGTTGTTGTTAGGTACTATGGAGTCGGTTCTGACTCATAGCGACCCTACACAGGGTTTCCGAGGCTGCAAATATTTATGGGAGCAGAAAGCCTCATCTTTCTCCCACAGAACAGCTGGTAATTTTGTTATGCCC